GCGCCGGTCAGTCGATGTAGTTAGGTGTCTAGTTTAAAATAAAACAAACCCGAACTCTCCAGCTTGAAGTATATTAAAAAATCTTGGGACGCCGTTCAGGATCCTTTTTGGATCTTGATCTCTGGAAAACTTCTAAACCGTAAGACTTGGAAACAAAAAAACTTTTCATTCCCGTAACTCATTGTGCCGAACATTTACGGAAAGTTTCGTCAAGATCGGATGTACGGTGCCGGAGATAATTTCTGAGGGGAGGGCCGTTAACCATTGTTCTAAGCTTCTTTTCAAAATAACTGTTGAATTTTAAGTAATTAAAGGACAGTACTCTTTCATAGGCGGCGGAGCCATTAGGCCTGGGTAGGCTCAAATCTACCTTAGACTGGCGAAGGGTAATCTTGGATAGGCTCAAACTTTGACAGATCTAAGGGTCGAGTAGGCTCAAACTCGGACAGATCAAGGTTTTGGTAGAATCTATTAAATGCACAGGTTTTCTATTATTGTTTAGTTTTCATGTTTTTCTGGCAGATAACACATTGTTATACAGTCAGTGTCAGTCATAGGCGGCGGAGCCATTAGGCCTAAGTAGACTTCGGTTCACCTGGGCTGAATATCTAAAAAGACGTCTATAGACTCCATTCTACATAAAAATGTTATATTATTGATAAATTTTCGTTTGCTTCTAACGCATGATATATTTTTACAAAATCAGTTTACTTTTTATCTACTACCAACCAGAGGCGGCGAAGCACAAGACCGGAGTAGGCTAAAGATCAACAAGATTCAGGTTTCATAGCCTAAGAGAGGCTCCATCAGATTAACAAATTTGCTTAAGCAAGTAGAAAGTAAACTGATTTTGAATATTTTCACCGGTGAATAAATTCGGTAAATAGTAATCCGGTAAATAGTAATACTACTTCAAAATTTTTGCAACTGAGTTCGTAACAACAACAACTGAGTTTTGTATGACCAAGTGTTGCAAAGTATATTGGCAATGAGTTCACGTTATGCTCTTTTGTCACAAATGAAGAATAATCTTACAGTATACTTAAAATCATATCTACTGGATGACGCTCAAACTTTTCTCTTCCCTCAGTGGTTAATCTCAGATGCCAATCAAACATTTTCAACAAGCTAAACAAACCCCTAATGAGATTCCTTTTCTGTGAGCTCTTCTGCGTCGCCATAATTCTAGTTTCCAGTATTAATACAAATCAAAAACTCTTTCCAAGGTGTAGCTCATCAGATAGGTTCGGAATTAATCGACTCTAGTTCCGAGTCTGGGTCTGAAATTTTTCTGTTAACCAGAGTCAGCTCTGGATCCAGGTGCAAGTCCTCGAATTCAGATCTGATGAGCTTCAGCTGCACGTAAGAGCTAGTTATAAC